TTCGTCGTCCCTGGAGTCGTAGTCTTGGCCGGAGTCGCTGTAACCATTGACTTTGTCTGAGGTTGTGTTTGGTCCCTGCCGTGGTCACTGGGAGGCTGCTGAGCTTGGCCTGCTCGCCTTACTCCGGTCCTGCTGCCCCCCAGTACTTTGAGCTCACAGTGCAGGTACAGTCAGCTGATAGCACCGCTAACTAGTTAGTGTAGCAGCTAGAACAGTTAGCATAAGCAACAGTTTAACGTTACTCACATATTATTGACTACCATAAAAACAGAGGGATGAATAAGAACAACTGAGTCCAGGTTTTATGAGTCAAGGATGATGTGAGGGCAGCTCTTGTAGGTTAATCAGGTGATTAGTTCTTTCTTTTTTAGTTCACACACACACAAACAAACTGCACAGTAACGGGAGGAACGGTTCCCCTGAGGCTTTTATCATATTTCTGTTTCATTCTTTGCTTCCAGTCTCTGCCTCTTTCTTCCCCTCCTCTGTCTCTCTGTGGATGGTGAGATGTCAGATAATCTCCTTACCTGTCACTTCCTGGTAATAAGCTTTGACTCATCTGACCTGACAGGTGCTTAAAGTGAAGACTCACTTGGACCCCCCGGGTCAAACTTAACATCACAGAAGCTTTAGACACAACCAGAGGAACCTGTTATCTTCACATTCGTGGTGTTGTGGCTTTGTGTTGGGGGTTTCTGTGTGTGGTTGTGTGTCCTCCTGTAATCCTGATGAGTCAGAGTCTGTCAGGCTGACGGACACATGCTGACAGAGAGGCCTGTGTCAGGAAGTAACTTCAGGTTAGGATAATGGATTCACTGTATGCACAGAAGGTTTAGAATATAGGGATGTTGTGAGATTTACTGAATTTATAATGAATGTAGTTGTTTTACTATGAGACCACACTGCTGATTGATTAGAATCCAACCAAAGAAAATTAAACCCAATGTTTTATGGTTATATATTAACTTCAGAAGAAATTAATATGTCAAATAATAGTCTTTAAACACTAACTAACGTTAGCTCAGCTTGTTTCTCTGATAACTTAAGATCCAGACGTCCGATGACTAAAATCCTTCATCCGGTTCAAATCTAGAGTTAAAAAGCACCAAGATCTAAACAGTGGATGGTAACAATGTGGCTTCACACTGGATCAACAGTCAATGTATGACAGCTTCTGGCAGACAACCACAACGCTGACGCAGGCACAAAGGGGATATGACGCCATCGACAGGCGACCGGTGAAACGCAGCGTTACCTGAATAAAATGACAGATTTCTCTGAGTTTGAACATTGTTGGAAACATTTGGGATAATGGAAGAACTCAACTACATATAGAACATAGAGCCAGAGCTTATACACTGTTTAATGAGGAACATGTAGAGGGAACTCTTTTAATCTAAATGTGATGAAGGAGATGTTTGATGTTGTGAGTGCAGCTCACACACGTTGGCATTTCTTCCTCCGAGTTATAAATCAGTGGACACATTACAGAGCTGCTGTGTGTGTGTGTCTGTGTGTGTGTGTCTGTGTCTGTGTCTGTAGTGTGTGTCTGTGTGTTGTGTGTTTGTGTGTCTGTAGTGTTTGCACATGCTGCATTGGCACCTTGTCTTTCCCTTGAGCAGTGTGTGTTTCCCATATAAGGATGTATGGGCCTTCAAAGCCTCCTTGGATTGTGTGTGTGTGTGTGTGTGTGTGTGTGTGTGTGTGTGTGTGTGTGTGTGTGTGTGTGTGTGTGTGTGTGTGTGTGTGTGTGTGTGTGTGTGTGTGTGTGTGTGTGTGTGTGTGTGTGTGTGTGTGTGTGTGTGTGTGTGTGTCGTTTTTAATAGAGGAGAGCTGCACTATGCCCATGTAAGCACACTCTACATCGGAGAATTAAACTCACTGTATTGGCACTCACAGACAGACAGAAGATAGAAAACATCAGGACAGACTTTAGAGCGGTTCACCCTGTTGTGTCCGCCTGGACTCGGTTTGTTTTAAGCTTTAAAAAGTGGTTAAATCAGTTTATCTTACTGTATTATGTGGATTAATCAGTGGTGGAAAGACTGCAAGTTAAACTACTGGTATTCTATTACTCTGAGTGTTATTATATATATATCATTATATATATTATATATATTATTATTATTATTATTATTATTAAAAAAAGCTGGAAATTTACACTAAATTTAACTCAAAAGAAATTCTCATTTTTGATTGAGCAGCTTTTACTGTAATTTTAAGTAACAAATAATATATATAACATATAATGCAAAGCTACCAGTATTAGTAAAAGTCTTATTTTTAAATCGTTGCTGGATTGAAAGAATTGTTTCATGTGGTTACACCTCCAGCAACATCAGCTATACGCTTTATATGAAAAATGGTACAGCTACTACAAAACATAAATCCTGATCATTATTGATTAACCAGATGAGTATTTTCACAGTTAATTGATAAATTGTTTTGTCTATAAACCAAAATTAGACTGAAATGCAGATAATAATTTCACAGAACCCAAAGAGGATCATCATCATCAGATTTCTTGTTTTATCCAACCAACGGTCCAAAACTCAAAGATTTACCATCACACATTCAGAAAGCAGCAAATATTCACACTGGAGAAGAATATTTCTTATTTTTGCTTTAACAATGATAAAAACTGTCTTTTTTTAAATTAATAAAATCAACCTTGAAGCTTGAAACCAGCGTCCAGATGGTCACATGGTCACATGGTCAGTGTTTGTGTTCATTGGGGTTGACAGTCAGCTGATTATTCATACTGAGTTATGATTTGTTGTCACAGAGCAGTCAGGTTGTTTATGTGCCAAACATTTTAATTGTCTCTGAGGTCAGTGGACGTTACAGCTGATTGTGTAACGTATTTGGCTTTGTCATGTGACCTCAATTATAGTTTTACATGTGTTTGATGCCGTTGCAGCTGTGTGGATTTGGACCGGGCTCACTTTTAAATATATTTCTCTTTATTTTCCTTTATTGTACAGGACAGATTGAGAAACAGAATTATTATTAACTGATTAATTGTTTTGGTCATTATTGAAGCAAAAAGGCAAAATATTTTCTGCTTTTCTTCATCATATATGATATTAACTCAACTTTGGATAAAACCAGACATTTGATGATCTCTTTCTCTCTAGTTTTGGTTTATAGACGAATAATTATCAGTGTGTTTTTTGTGTCATATTAATATAAATTAACTCAGTATCTTTGGATAATAGTGTGAACTCTCAGTGATTTTAAAAGGAATCTAATTAATCTGGCTTTTAATTTGGAGTCGTTATAATGTTTAGGTTGTAATTATTGACATTATTTTTGTCCTTTTTCTGTCATCTTCTATTTATTGATGTTTTACATGTTATTGTTTTTATTATATTTATTATATTTATAATGTGTTGTTTCAGTTTTGCTGTGTGGCACACTTTGGGCTTCATGTTCTTTATAAATAAAGTCGAGTTCATATAAAATATAAATCAATCTAACACATGAATCTGCTCGTCAGTATAAAGTTTACCATCTGCAACATTCAATGATAGCAATCATACAGGGTTGGTTCAAAATAATAGTAATTTATACATTTATAACGTAAAGTTCATGTATGACAATAAAATATTAAAACTGTTGATCAGAAAAAGCTGAATATCGGCCAATAATCGTCCTGAGGGCAGATGTTGTCCGTTGTCCTCTTCGACCCTCTGGCCTACCCAACCTTCTCCGGCTATTAATACACGAACACAGCGTCGACCGGCGCCCCCGGCCCTCCTCGCTCCCCACAGTGAAGCCTCTTGTGCGGCTGACTGGACAAACGCGCGTCGTAAACATCACAAACAGTTTGAATCAGTTCTGTTTGAGTCCACGTGGCCTCCTGTCAGCTCAATCAACCATTTTAGCTTTTTCTTTCTTGCTTTTTGGAGAGTTTTTGTGTGACTTGCTGCTCTGTCCTGCAGCAGGTTTCCATGTTTTCTCTAAAATTAGAAGTCAGTCGTGCAGCATGAGACCCCGGCTGATTTATAAATGTGTTTTCATCATGTGCTGAGCCTCCAGCAGCGAGGCCCTTTGCACATTTCCAGATCATCTTGGTGCTAATAACGTCTGGCTGTATATTTTCGTGCAGATAAGTGCAGATTTATTGTTGTGTGAGCTCTTATCTCCTCCCTTGTTATTATCACATAAGTGGGCTGGGTCACATGAGAAATACCACAATGCTTCAGCTCTGTACAGTGACATAAAGGAAAAGGCTCTTATTGTTAAAGCTCTCTTATTCTGCTTCCTGACGGCCTCCTGTTATGGTTCGTCTTCCAAAGGTAAAGAAATCAGTGTGTTAGATTCTCTAAAGACGCTTTCTCTTCTTCCTAAAATCTGTGTTTTGTTTTCTACTAACATGCAGCTCCAACATCAGCGAATAAGTTTAAACACTGAGTGAGATTTATATCAAACATTTGGTTGAACTAGACAGAAATTACAATCTTTAAACTTCGTCTTTTAATAGTTTATTGTGATTTCTGCAGCCATTAAAGGACTTTACTTTGCACTAGAAGTTGGCAAATAGGATTAATCTGTAATGTGCTGGCAGGACGGTGAGGCTGGTTTCAATGCCCGCCTGACCTCCTGGTGCTCCGGTCCCGGTGCTCCGGTCCCGGTGCTCCGGTCCCGGTGCTCTGGTCCCGGTGCTCTGGTCCTCGCTCCCTGTCCTTTGAACTCGCTGTCCGGGTACAGTCAGCTGATAGGACCACTAAATATCTAACTGCAGCTAGCCATTAGTACAGAGGAAAGTCTGCGTTGCAACAATCCTCTGATACTTTCCTCCTGGCGACCAGGTGCTGCTCTCGAATGAGTTTGAAAAAAGACATAAAGAACACATGATTTGGTTGAGGAGGAAGGATACGGACATGTGTCACTGTGTGTGTTGAGTGTTGATGTTGATGAGGAAGAAGTCGTCCGCCATTGTCCTAACAGAGGCCGTATTGTTGTGACTCATCATGTTTCTCTTTATTCTCCGTCAG